TTTTTTTTTTTTTTTAATTTTATTTATTTACTTGAGAGAGAGAGAGCACGCTCAGCGCTCAGCGCACACACACAGCACAGACGAGGGTGTGGGGAGGGGCAGAGAGGGAGGGAGAGGAAGAAGGAAAGACTCCCAAGCTGACTCACGAGCCCTTCTCAGGACTGAGATCATGACCTGAATGGAAGCCAAGAGTCGGATGCCTAACCGACTGAGTCAGCCAGGCACCCCAGTCCTGTTTTAAATAGCTTTTGTTTTCAGCTCTTCTGGTGGCCACCTCCACAAGGAACCTAAACCCTTGCTGTCATTCCACTAGCCAGAGCTACTGCCTGACATTTACCTACTGACCCCCCACCACGTAAGATGAGGCTTCATCTCATTTAGACTACTCCCTATACTTCGCCTTGCCCCAAATTCGGCTAGTTATATAATACTGTTTAATCTATTGATTATTTTGTTAACTTTATTTTTATTTTTTTAGATTTTATTTATTTGACAGAGAGAGAGAGAAAGAGTGAGAGAGAGCGAACACAAGCAGGGGGAGCGGCAGGCAGAGGGAGAGGGAGAAGCAGGCTCCCTGCTGAACAAGGAGCCTGACACAGGGCTCAATCCTAGGACCCTGGGATCATGACCTAAGCCAAAGGCAGACACTCCACCCAGGTGCCCCTATTTTGTAACTTTAGACAGAACTTCTGGTTACTCTACCTTTTACATAGGAGGTTATGAGCACCCCAAGCCTTTTATTTATTGTACTTTTATTTTTACATCATCAAGGTTAACACCTCCTGTCCTGTTCTCTAAACATATTTCAGTCTATACGTTGACTCTAACTGTTGCAGCTCGTTAGCAGTGTTTATGACAAGTTTCCTTCCCTACTTAGAAGGTCCTGCCTCCCGTGCAACCCTCAGGAGAATGTCTAGTGCACCCAGACAACTGGATTGCTTTTTGTACATCTTATCAATTACTCAAAATCCTGTAACAATTTCCTTTGTTTTACATTTGACCTTGGCTCTCTTTGTATAATCTTTCCCATGGAATTTCTAAATGTCTTTCTCCTTCTGTTGAGAATTAACATTTACATTCTTTACTGCCATCAAAAAAGATCATTTCTTATTCCTTCTCACAATGCTTGGGACCTATTTTTCTTGACTTTGTTACAATTTGCACAGACTGCTTACTACACCGTGGATCCGGGCTTTCTTTTCCCTGGACCGATGGGTCAGTTCCCCTGTTATAGTATCAGAATGAGTGCACTCACTCTTTTTTGCCTTCTAGCCTCTAGGGTTGCTGATATTAATCACCAGTTTGGGTTTGGTTTCTTTCTTTCCAAAGTTTTCAGGATTATCTCTGAAGGGGTCCAGAATATGCCACTGTGGCATAAAAATTATTTTGAGCAGGCTTTTGAGTTCCTGAAACCTCTTATCGGCAAAAAAGCAGAGACCCCCCCCCACCCAAAAAAAACCTCAACTGTCATAAATTCTCTCCCTGAGAGCAACCAAAGAAGACTAATTCTTATCATTGGAGATGAGAAGTCTCCATACCACTCCTAAACACTGTCACAAAACTATTCTATCTCCCTCTCATCTATTCTCCTAAGGGCCCACTTATCTTTCCAAAAAATCATTTGTTTTTCCATAAGTGTTCTTCTCCCCCTCCATTTCCGCTATTAAGATGGTATATAAGCCCCAATTTTAATTGGCCCTTTGAGTCACATTTTGATGAAATCTGTCTTTTGTCAGTTTAATTCACAGGCTCCCAACCACTAAATCTAACAGGATGGAGGAAAAGTTTTTCCTCTCCAACATCAATCTATTCTTGGTATTCTCAAATCTCATGAAGCATCTCCTTTGGCATTCAGTGAACATTTTAATCTGAAGGCTTTTTTCTCTTTCACTCAGGGAAATTTTCTTATATCACTGATTTGATAACTCCCTATATCAAAAATTTTGTCAGATTTCACATCTCTTAAGAATTGATCTATATTTTTTCTCTCATATTTTCCATATATCTTTTTGCTCAGGTCTCAGGAAATTTTCTTGACTTTATCTTTCAACATTTCCACTAAATTTACTTTGTCAATCATTTAAAATTTTTAACAGCTCTTGGAATGCCGGGTTGGCTCAGTTGGAGGAGCCTGCGACTCTTGTTCTTGGGGTTGTGAGTTTGAGCCCCATGTTGGATGTAGAGATTACTTAAAAATAAAATATTAAAAAATAAATTTAATTTTTAAATTTTTTATTTAAAAAAAATTTTTTTTTAAAGTTTTATTTATTTGTCAGAGAGAGAGAGAGCACAAGCCGGGGGAGTGGCAGACAGAGGGAGAGGGAGAAGCAGCCTCCCCGCTGAGCAGGGAGCCTGATGTGGGACTCGATCCCAGGACCCTGGGATCATGACCTGAGCTGAAGGCAGACGCTTAACTGACTAAGCCACCCAGGCGTCCCAAATAATAAATAAAATTTTTAACAGCTTTCTCACTCTTTGTTTCTTTTCCATAACATTCTATTATTACTTAAGTCTTTGTGAAGATTCTAAATTAGGAGTTTCTCCTCCATTCTCCCTAAAGCTACTGCTTCTTTTCTAAATTCTCTCTATCCTCAGGGTCAAAAACTTATTTGGTTTCTCTGATTGCCCAGTTGTATTTACCTTCAGGGATCAGGTTAAACTTTTGAGGTGGATTTCCTCTGTTATTAAAAAAAAAAAAAAATTTTTTTTTAAAGATTTTACTTACTTATTTGAGAGAGAAGCGTGAGCGCCCGGGGGGAGGGGCAGAGGGAGAGAGAATCTCAAGCAGACTCTCCACTGAGTGTGGAGCCCGATAAAGGGCTTGATCTCACGACCCTGAGTTCATAACCTGAGCCGAAACCCAAGAGTCAGATGCTTAACTGATTGAGCCACTCAGGCGCTCTTCCTCTGTTATTTTATATCTATTTCCCCTCAAATTCCTCCCCTGAATGGGAATATCCAGGTTTGCTTTCGGGTAAGTGGGTGGGCTGGGCGGCCCCCAAATGCCACTTAGGCGCTCTGGCCCCTAACTCAGCTGCCTTTCTATTCCTTAGGCCATTTATTTCTGTTCTAGAATCAATTCCACGCTGGCATTTGCTGCAGTTCTTTCCCCCCTATTTCTGGCTCCTCTGCTTTCACTCCCACCCCCTCGGACCCATAGACTCAGTCTGAGGCCTCCTGATCAGTGGAGTTCTGCCTGGTCCATAGTCCTCCCTCTTCTATGACACTTGCCTCTACATTCATTTTGCAGGTGGCTTATTGTTATTTCATTCCACATGTCACCATGCTTCTATCCATTTCCTAAAAGATTTGAAAAATCTTGAATCTGATGATGGTCTCCCTCTGGTTCTCTATGCCCTAATGAATTGAATCCCCATTTTATTTCCTATTATTTTAATAGGGTCACAAACAAACAAACAAAAAGAAGACATACTTTTACCCAGGCTGCCATCCGGAACTGGAAGTCACTCAACAGGTAATTCTCCAAGCAAGTTATATTCCACTAATTCAGATGAAATTGTATATGCTATAATAACTTCTGTGTATTTATTTATTATTATTACTATTATATTTATTATCATATAGTTGACATACAGTATTTTATCAGTTTCAGGTGTACAACATAGCGATTCAACAATTCTCTACATTACACTATGCTCAGCATGATAGGTGTAGTCACGTTATTACAATGTCATTGACGACATTTCCTATCAGGTACTTCTCATTCCCATGATGTATTCATTTTATAACTGGAAGTTTGTACCTCTTAATCCCCTTCACCCATTTTGCCCTATTATTTGTTCTTCTGAATGTGAAAACCTCACCTTAGTAACATATAAATTCTATATAAATAATTGGTATAATTCAATAAAGTTGATTTTCTTTCATTACTCGAAAAAGTTTTATTCTGAAATCTTTAATTTCTACAAGACAGACAAGAGAGATTTTTTCTATGTACTTGTGATGAATTCTTTAGATGTTCAATTTTATTTTTAAAAATATTTATTTATTTATTTGAGAGAGAGACAGAGTGCGCGCCTACGTGAGCGAGCACACAGAGGGAGAGGGAGAGGTAGAAGCAGGCTCCCTGCTGAGCAGGGAGCCCAATGCGGCACTCGATTCCAGGACCCTGGGATCATGACCTGAGCCAAAGGCAGACGCTTAACCAACTGAGCCACCCAGGTGCCCCTAGATGTTCAATTTTAATTGCTATAACTCAAACAATAAAAAAGATAACTTACCCAAGAAAATGTCGACCAGCATATTCATAGTAAATCTCCCAGAAGGACCTATATGGTTTTTATTTCTTGTTCCTTGCGATGAACTATGTTCTTGAACAAATCTGACAATATTTTCTACATCATCAGTCACATCTCTTGTCTTATAATCCTATGAGTAAAAAGATATTACCTTCTGCTGTAATTAAGATGATACTTAGATCACTAGGGTTTCACACTGTGGTAGTCTCATAACAAACCATTTCCACACCAAAACCAAGATCCAAGCCCAAATTTCAAATGTTCTTTCTTTTCTATGCTCTTACATTAAGCTTGTGTCTAGAACATTAGCACTCTACGACGTCTATGTTATTACTGGGTTACAGACATACCTCTCAGCATGCTGTGGGTAGGAGTATCCTTTGCTCCTTTTCAAACCCTTCATACCCTCTAGAACAGTGCTCTGTCACTTGGATGGTGATTTCTGGGATCAAAAACACTGTCCAACCATGCAAATCTGTGAGTTCTGATCACTTTTGGGGCTTTGGTGTCATAGTCAACCCTTTTAATGATCTCCTGTCAGTTCCCTTTCTCCATCTCCTCACTGGTCTCCAAACTCGGCCTACTTTTTAAAGCCCCCATTACTGTATGGTCTGTCTGCTTTCATCCATCCTAGATCTCCAAACTAGCAATACTAACCAACCATTGTTCTCAAAAGCAGCATCATGCTTCTGGCCTCTGTCTATGCAGCCTCCTCACCTTCTAACCTTTGTTCCTCTGCCACAATCTCACAGCCTCAAGACAAACAGGTTTCTTGTCTTATTCTAACAGTTAGTAGTGATTCTGAGGCTCTATCTAGAACCATCACGAAACAGTGCTCTGTCATTCTCTCCAACACCATTCCTGCCTTAATTCTTGGTGACTCAGCAGACAGATGATCCTCCCATCTTGGCCTCTGGCATCTTGAGCTCCTCTGCCCCACTGACCCCATCTTCCACGTATGCCCACCGCTCACTCCCTTGGTCACACCTACGACCTTGGCCTCACTAAAATCAGCAACCCCTTCATTCTCTGACAGCCACCTCGTGCCATCTAGTATATTCTGATTCCAACAGGCCACTGAGCCTGACTATCCACTCACTCCCATCCTCGGATGCTCCCCTAACTCAGCTTAAATTCCATAGCCCCTCATATACCTTCAGCTCCTTTGCCCTCAGGTCAATTCATCCCATTCGTTGTTTGACGATACACACTAGATCCAACTCTTCACCATTCTGTACCTAAACCTCGGTAGCTGGAGACCTTGGCTGGAGAAACACATGCAACCATGTGGAAAGTCTGCACTTTCAACACATGGCCACAAACCTCAAGTGGACCCTTCACGTAGCCAGGTAATCATCACACATCCTTGGTGTCCCACTCCTCTGTTCTAGAACAGGAGTCAGCACACTATGGCCCGTGAGCTGGACGCCTGTTTCCGTACATCAAATTTACTGGAACACGGCCATGGAAAATCGATGTATTTATTGTTTATGTCTGCTCTTGGGCTAAAAGAGCAGAGTTGAGTACTTGTGACAGAGCCTGTGATTCTAAGGCCCACAAAGCCTACCGTACGCACTCTGGCCCTTTAAGATAAAGTTCTCTGACCCTTGTCCTAGATGACAAGACTACTTCACTTTCTCCTTTCTCTTCAATCCCCTCTCTTATCCTGACTGTCAGCTGACAACTTGGCCTGCTACTTCACTGAGAAAACTGAAGCAACCACAAGAGAGCTTTCACAAACTTCCCTCACAACATCGGTCACCAGCAAATGCCCCACATGGTCTTCTCCCTCCTCCTGCTCTTACAGATGAAATCTCTCGGTTCCTGCCTGAAGCCAATCTCTGGACTTGCACACCAGATCCCCCTCCCCCCCACCTATTCAAGGACATTGCTTCAGTGGTTCTCCCCTTTCCTTACACATCAGCTTTTCATCCTATGCAAGTATGTTCCTATCAGCCCAGACAGATGTTACTTTTCCTGTCTTTTCCTGACTCCACTTCCCTGCCAGTTGCCGTTTCATTTCTCTGATCATCCTTGAAGCAAAACTTGAAAGAGTTCTCTGTATTCGTCGCCTCCAGGTTTGCCCCACTCTGTGGAAACTGTCAAACAAATCGAGCCACGTCTTCTCAGTCCCTTCCTGCCTGGCTTAGCGGAAGCACTCCCTCCTCCCTGGGACGCTTTCTGTACGGATTTGTGCTTTTCCTCTTACCTTGCTAATTCTCTTTCTTGGTCTCCTTCTCTAGTCCCTCCTCTTCTCCTTAAACTCTGAATGTCCCAGGACTCGGTGGTTTGGTTTTCTTCTCTTTGGTCTAACCTTATACCCCTGAAGATTTCATCTGCTCTTATGGCTCTGAATACCATCTGTACACCAACCACTCCCAAACTGGTAGGTACCACAAGCCTCTTTTCAGAAATTCTGAATCTAACAGATACATCTAATTCAAAACACCCCAAACTGAGCCGATCTGCCCTGCCAAATGGCCATCCCCAGGCATTTTGGCTGAAGGTCAGTCACACCACCCCTCCAGCTGCAGCTCTGGCCCGTCATCTCTTTCCCCCCGACTGACTCTTAGCCCTGCTCAGCTACACGCGCTCCCTTTGCTATCCCTCCTATGCACGGGCATGCCCCCTACACCTGGGGGCCAAGAATGCCCATGTCCAGGGAGCTGCTCAGCTAACTCCCTTTTCAGGTGTCCCCTGCTCAGGCTGGCTGCATCTCTGTGATAAGACTTCCCTGGGCCACCGCACCTGATCCTGCAGCTTGCATCCCACCCACTACTCCTGGCTCCCACACCGCTGAGCTTCACAGACCCTTACACTGTCCGTACTCAGCCTCCCTCAGCCACAACGTAGGCCCCGCAAGGGCAGGGATCTTTTTATTTTGCTCAGTGATGCATCTCAATATCCTAGAACAGTGCCTGCCACACAGCAGGCATTCAAGTATTTGTTAAACAAGAACTGATACTGATTGGTAACGTCTGCAGGGCAGGCCGTGGGGGGTGCAAATGGCCATGAATCTGCAGACCCCGCCCTCTGCGCTGGCTAGTGCTGCAGATCTTTGTGACTGCTTATCACGCAGCATCATTACAATCATGTGAATACGTGTATGTCTGCCCCCCTCCTGTCTATGAACTGGCCCGCAACAGGCTCGTTTGTGAGTCCCCGGCACCTTGCACAGGCGTTTCAAATAATGTATCAAATGTGAAAATGCTCTGTAAACTGTAGAGTACGGAGACATTAAAACACAGAATTACCAGGAAAGGTAGAATTAAGTACCTAATGATTGAATTTAACAACTTCTCACGGTTATTTTTAGGACAGATGATAGCAAATTCATCTAGAAGCTATTGCCATTAATTCTTTATAGTTTTTAGATAACCAATTTATAGTATAATGTAATTGACCTGATTCAAACACACAGTACATCAGTTATTATAACTCTTCAGAATGAGAACTTCAAATATATATTGGGATTGAATCTAAATATTCTACCTGCCCATGTTGATCTTTTTGGATATTTACAGATTAATGATATTTCTAAAATATTCTATAGTACACACATATAACTTCAATATTTTAGATAGGTCCACGATATTTTTTTATAGGCTTCTAATTCAAAAGCTATTCCACAGAATTACTATTAAATGTTTCTATTCCAAATTACTATGGGGAGGAAGCCATCTTTCCCCGGTTCAATCCCTGAGGGCCCATTTATGGTAACCTTTGTTATCTTGTATCTTGTATCTAACTTCGCTAAATTAAAGTGTTGGCAATTTCCTGAATTACAAGGAATTTAAAACTTTCTTATTTTACCTTTGTTTTACAGCAATTATCACAAGAAACATCTGGGTATTTCTTACAAAAATCAGGATTAAATCCATTTTCACCAAAGTAAGCCAAAAGTTGTATTCTCCTGCATTCTGTTATATTTTCACAGTAATGCACCATACTATACAAATTATTGAAGTGAGTCTCTCTGGTATGATGGTTTCCATCTTTTTCCACTAAAAGAGGTAAAGAACAAAGTAAAAATACTTATTAGAGTAGGAAAACAGAAGAAAATATCACAGAAATATTTGTAATAGATTCATATAACTTTAAATATTAAATGAAATAAAATTACTAATAGCACTATAGATCAGTATGACATCATTCTATATCATGACCAACCTTGTACTTATGTTTATCCCTCAAATTTTTAGTTTTATAGGAATAAATGAGTAGCTGAAAAAAACGTTCACATCTGCATGATTCCTGATGATGAAGATCTGAATCAAATTTGCTGTATTTATCAGACAAGCATGTCCTTAGCCGGACGTCCCAAGTCAGCAGAGCAGGCAATTACAGCAGTGGGCCAGGCGCCTCCCTGGGTATCTGGGGTCCAAGTAGTTAAGCCAGTGGTCCCAAAGCCACGTGCCAAGGAGCCCTGGGGTGCTGCGGTGAACTCACGGGGGTGTTGGCAGGGTATTTTAAATTTAAGGGAAACACAGCAATATTTGAACACCACCCAAACTGCCAGTCTGAGGACATGGTGCGCTACACTCGTTCCAATGCCATCGCTGCGAAACTGAACTTTTGGCAGTTGTGATAAATACAAGTACCTCCAGAAAATCCATGTGAAACAGGAAATAAGGGTGGCAGTGTCTAATCTAATTTCAAGGTTTGAGAATCACATGCACATACTTTCCGTTTGTAAGCAACTGAGGTTACTTAAGAATGCAAATAAAATGGTTTTTTCTAGTTTATGACTATTCTTTTTTTCAAAATGTTGCTAAGCATTTAAAACTTAAATGCTTATTGAATTATTTAGACCTAACAATATAGGTTCTGTTAAAAACACAAACGGTCATGCTAAGTTTAAAAGTCTCATTTTTATTTA